CACAGGCTTAACACTGGACTGTACAGGCTTAGCACTGGACTGCACAGGCTTAACACTGGACTGCACAGGCTTAACACTGGACTGCACAGGCTTAGCACTGGACTGCACAGGCTTAGCACTGGACTGTACAGGCTTAACACTGGACTGCACAGGCTTAACACTGGACTGCACAGGCTTAACACTGGACTGTACAGGCTTAACACTGGATTGCACAGGCTTAACACTGGACTGCACAGGCTTAACACTGGACTGCACAGGCTTAACACTGGACTGCACAGGCTTAACACTGGACTGGCACAAGTCAGTGTCACCATCTGAAGCAAGGGTAACACCGTTGACAGTGGTGTGAGCGCTTTACAGTTTAACCAGTAGCTCACACTTAAAGTATCTGCACCTGTATCATTGGAACAGATGCTGCAGTCCTGAAATGGCTGACTCCATGCTTGGTGTGACTCAGGTTGCAGACATCCAGGAAGGGACATTTCTAGGGTTCAGAGAGTTTCCTGCTGACTTGGGAGGCAACAGGGATAGGTCTGAAGCCTGCAGACTCTGGCTTTTTTTTTGGTTTGGTTTTGTTTGTGTGTGTATGTGTGTGTGTGTGTGTGTGTGTGTTTTCTTGTTCTTTTGCCTGGCTAGTGCTACCTCTTGGGCTCAGATAGTCTTGTCTCATCGTCCCAGGTGATTGGGACTATAAACGGCAACTACAGAGTCCTTATTTTTATTTTATTTTATTTTATTGTATTTTATTTTTGTTTGTTTGGTTTTTCGAGACAGGGTTTCTCTGTATAGCCCTGGCTGTCCTGGAACTCACTCTGTAGACCAGGCTGGCCTCGAACTCAGAAATTCACCTGCCTCTGCCTCCCAAGTGCTGGGATTAAAGTCGTGTGCCACCACTGCCCGGCCAGAGTCCTTATTTTTAAAGTGAAACTGTTGGTTTCTGCAACTCATGCGGTTCCTGTGAAGACTTCAGGAGCTCTGGGAAGCTGTTATACTTTAAAAAAGACCATTTAAGGGAAGGGTGATGGCATAGACCTGTAAGCCCAGCTACTCAAGAAGTTGAGGTAGAAGGATAAGAGTTCCCGGAGTTCCTGGGCTGTATGGGGAGTTTGGGACTGCTGGAGCAGCTGAGAGACTCTGCCCAAGTTTAAAAACAGGAAAAAAGTCGGAGGATATAGCTAATATTTGTAAGACTCTGCCATTGTTTCCATTTTACAGATGCGAGGCCTAGCACTCAGGAATTCAGTAACTTAACCCCAAACCAGACAGCTTGTTTTGGATCCACTTCCTTGTAATTGCTTTCTGTGGACCATATTAGGTAGATGTGGTTAACCAGTCTTCCAAAAGAATTATTGCCCATGCTAGTTTTTTCTTTACTTGGGAAGATTGGGAAGTTCCAGGTAGAAAAATTACTCAGGCTTGTTATTTCTGAAGGGATAAAGAGAGGAAGGGGTCTTCAGCCAGGTTCAGTGGTGTGTGCATTTAATCCCCACATTTGGGAGGCAGGTAGATCTCCGTAAGTTCAAGACCAGACTGGTCTGAATAGTGAGTCTCTGCCCCCCCAAATGACAACAAAACAGATAACAAGAGGAGAATAGTCTGTATTCAGCTCTCCCATGAGCAGCATACCTGCATGTCTCCTTGGAGCAGCTTTCTGCACCAGGCTCCTCTGTAAAACTGCTCACAGTCACTGGACCAAACATTAAGGTCTTCTAGAATTCCGTTTTTTATAGGTATTCATTTGGATTTATAATAAACTAATGGTACCTCAAATGATGACTACTTTTTATATTCTTTGGCATGTCTGAATAACTTGAAATATTTAAGTAAAGGGGCAGACTTCTACACAGCAAGCATGTGGTCAGCATGACTCCATGATGGCAGCACTGTGGTTGAAAGATCCGATACACTCAGCCAACCATGCTGCATGACTGCGTTTAGTGCCATCAGAGAGGATGATCGGGGTGGATGGACAATTCTATCTGGGCGCTTTCAGGAATGCTTCCTGAAGGAAGCTGCTTTTGAGCTAGAGCTTACCGTGGTTGGGCAGAAGTGAACTGGGAATGTGTGGTGATAAACAGAACCACAGGAAGAGAAAAGATAGGCTCAGGCCTGTTCTGTTTCCCCCTTGGGTTGAGATTGAAATCTGGGGATAATTGGGGGGATTGAGTAGACCAGACAGGGAGAGTGAGGGAAGAGTGGATGGAGGCTATGAAGGGAGGTGGACTTGGCATGTGGACTCTCGGCAAGTGGCAGTGTCTTCAGCAGAGTGCAGTGCCACCTTGTTGGGGGCAGTGAAACTTAAAGGTAGTTTGGTTTTAGAATGGAAAAAGACTTGCTATTTTTAATTTTTTAAAATTAAATTTGCTCTTCAACAACTTTGTACAGGTATTATACTTTACTGAAAAATGACCCTCTCCCAGGTTCCTGCTACCCTTGTCCACTTGCCGTTCCCTACAGACTTCTTTCTCATTTCATGACCCAAACAGCCACATTCTCAATCCCAACCCTGAATGTTTCGTCTACCCTGGGCATCTGCTCCGAGGACACTAAACGATGTGGTGAGGTTGGCTGAGTGTATCAAGTCGCTCCACACAGCAATTCAGCATGAACTCAGGCTGAAGACATGCTTGCTGTGGTGAACTCCATAGCTTCGTTTTATTTTGTGACCCACTGAGTTTAGCAGGGGCTTCTGTGTAGCCGTGGGTTTGGAGTTATCTTTGGAGCCAGGTGGGCATATGATTGCAGACAATGGTTCTCCTTCTCCCAGAATCTAACAGGGTCTAAGGTAACTCAAATTAGCCTCTAACTATGTAGCTGAGGATGTTCTTGAACTTGTGAGTCTCTTGTCCCTACTTCCTGAGTGCTGGGTTACAGGCCTAGGCTACCACACACATCTGAAGGGTTTTTTTTTTTTAATGGTGCCATGTTATAGGAGCTTCATGGTATCTTGTTTTTCTCTTATTCAGTCCCCTACCAGCTCCATCAAATAGGACTTGTTTCTCTCTTTTGAGACAGGGTCTCACTATGTAGCTGGCCTTACGCTCTTAGTCCCTCCTGCCTCGGAGTTTGAGTGCTCTTACTATAGGCATGTGTCACCATGCCTAGCTGACCTTGAATGTGAGGTAGAACTTAATCTCATTTTACAGATGACAAAATCAAGACTTAGTAAAGTTAATTATCTGCCTATGGCCCTTGAGCTAAGCAGTTTAAGCCCTAGACTTAAAGCCTGATGCAAAAGCCTACACCTACAGTGAAAGGACACACTAGACAAGCTGTAAGTGAGGCATCTCTGTGGGAAGCTCTGGCAGTATTCCAGGTACGAAGTGGTAAGGATGGTCGTGAGGTGGGTGAAAATGGGAGCCTGGGCAAGTCTGGGGCCGTCAGTGGCCTGTAAGGACTCGGGTAGGAAGAGGAAGGGGGAAGGGGAGTACAGTACGCGTGATGGAGGTGATGGGCTGTGGCCTCTGCTTCCCAGTGACTTATCAGTGTGGGAGGCACACAGCTGATCATCCTGAGTCACAGGAGTTTGGGAAGGCAACGGTGACTCAGCAGGATGAGCCTGGGTCTCATTCTCGGCCTTTCCTAGTTACTGCTCATCACCTTTCACCTCCCAAGCCTCAGTGTGTCCATTAGCACAGCAAGGCTTTAGAATGCTGCCTAGGAACAGAGTGCAGTCGAACCAACCCAGTGTTGTTAACTAGTGTCCTTCACCACCCCAGCAAGATCCCTTCTGAATAGAAGGGTACAAGTCCCCAGATTCACTTCTTCTACCCCTCAGTGGCCTGAGAACCAGAGCCTGAGAGTGGACTTCCTGCAAACGTGTCCTTAATGAACACTTCAGCTGTAGTGGCCATTCCTTCTGAACCACAGGCCATCAACACTGAAGCATTAGGAGAGGAAGTCCTTGATTATAAGCTTCCAGATTAGAGTCACTCTCCCAAGGGTTTTCTCTTTTGAAAGCTGAATTATTTGCCCAAACACATTTACTACTTATTGGCAGGCAGGCAGGCAGGCAGGCAGGCAGACTTCAATCAGAGAATAGTGGAGTCTGGACCACTGGCTCAGACCTCTAAGCCCAGCAATGAGAGTGTGAGGAGGAAGGAAGGATGCCTGCAAGTTTTTGAGGCCAGCCTAGGCTATCTAAGTGAGACTGTCTTGGTAGGACACATACACGCGCGCGCGCGCACACACACACACACACACACACACACACAAAACCCAAGAGCCCCGTGGGCAAACTTCCACTTTTCGTTTCCTCTGAAAACAGCACAGGAGCTTCAGCACAGATTCCTCAGAGGACAGCACTGTGCCAGGACAGGGGTGATGCGAAAGGTCTATGCCTTCCCTTGCTTCCCCAGAGCTGCCCGTGGGCAGAATCTGTCTGAGGATTAGTGGTCCACAGTGCCCTCTTGTGGTGATATCTGGCAGCTTTGTTCTAGAGAAAAGTGATGGTTGTGCAGTGTTAAAACACGTGTGACTCAATTCTTTCTGCCTGGGGAAGGCTTACTTCAGGACTAGAGATGCCTTGGCACCTGCTCAGAGCTCACTGACTCCCTGCCGGCAGTGCAGTCTGGGAGGACTCAGGCCTGCATTCTTGTCTATAAGAAAAGGGAAGAGGAATCAGGGCTGAGAGGAGCCCTGCTTTCTCAGAGGTGTTCTAGTCTAGCCTGAGCTGCGTGTGACTGTAGAGCATTTTGAAATAATCAGGAGTTCAGAGTCATCATCAGCTTAGCTACATACTGAGCTCAAGGCAACATGTGCCACACAAGACCCTACCTTAAAAGTAACAACAGGGATAGCTCATCTGTTAAGGTTTTTGCCTGGTTTCAATTTCCAACATCATATGGACCAGGTGTGGTGGTGTAGGACTGTGATCCTAGCACTTGGGAACTGGAGGCAAGAGGATAGAGTGTTCAAAGTCATCCTTAGCAAATGAAGTGACTCAGTTGATAAAGTTTCTCTTGCCAAACAAACTTGGTAACCTGAATTCAAACCCTGAAATCTGTGTAAACATAAGAGGAGAAAATTGACTCCACAAAGGTGACCCCTGACTACCACACACGTACTGTGGCATGCATACCCACCCGCCTGTATTATACACACACACACACACACACACACACAGCATTTTGTTTTGTTTTAGCCAGACTTTTAGCTACTTTATAGGTTCCTATTTCTGTCACCCTTTCTACCGTAGGAGAGAAAGAAGGCTAGAAGGGGAAGGGAGCATCAGTATTGTTAGACTGTCTCCTGATGACTAGGGGTGTCAAGGTCTTTGGGACAAGTGTGATATTTGTTAGGATATCACCAGCCAGCAGCAGCAGGAACAGCAGCAGCAGGAACAGCAGCAGCAGGAACAGCAGCAGCTGCCTTGCCCCTCTCGGGGATCTAGCATTTTTATACTCTCTCAAGGGTCTTCAGCATGCCAAATGTCATATACTGGCAGAAACTATCTACAGCTGGCAAAATCATACCCCTGCCAGAGCACGAGACAAATCATAGTCTGCTGCTATGGACAATCTAAAGCAGCCCCATATCCCATGCCTGGGATTAAAACAAAAACATATTCCTATAACATTTCTATGTTTTTGAAGAGAGCAAAAATTTTCACTATATGTTTTAATTAGCTAAGTATGATATTGCATATTTATAATCTCAGTAGGCCAAGGTAGGAGGGTCATAAATAAAACCAGCCTGGGTTACATAGTGTAATGGCTAATATTGATTATCAACCCAACAGGAACTAGAATCATATGGAAAAGGAACCTTTGGGCATGTGTACATTAGGTGAATTGGATAGGAAGGCCCAAGAGTTGGGATCTGGGAGTTTCCATCCACGGTCAGTTGGTCCTGATGCTCTGGGGCCCTTGTCAGGGTAGCACACTGTGGCAGAAGTGCATGCTGAGCAAAACAGTTTCCCTCCTGACTGGGAAGGGAAAGGAGGGAAGGAGCCTGGGTCACACAGTGCCCTTCAAAGCACACCCTTAGTGGCCTAAGCCCTTCTTACTGGGTGCCACTACAAGGCTCTGCCACCTTCTAATCAGGTCACACTGAGGACCAGGCTTTCAACACATGGCCTTAGGAAATATTCAAGCTTCAAATTTTAGCTGTTATATAAATTTCCTGGTATTTTTGGATGTCTTCTGTGTTCTTAGCACTGATTGAGGATTCAGTGGGAACTATTCAAGTTGGGGCCTTATGGGCCTCTCAGGCTTAGATTTGAAATGCTAGAGATTTTGTTTCATGCTTTGTTTTTCTTTTAGGCATTTGTCAATTGGAAGGAGGCTAGATTGACTTGGAGCTTTTTCAAACAGTCATTCTTGAAACAGATTTTGACAGAAGGTGAGTAAAGTAAAAGTTCACGTGAGCAGTCGGGAGATCATAGAAGATGCAAAAGGATTCCATGGGACCACTGCTGACACTAGAGCACTTGTCTGGGGCCCCCGGCAGAGGACTCTTAGAGATGTGCTTGCTTTCTTTTCTTTTAAATAAAATAGAGAACCAATATTTATTTAGCTTTATGTTTTACTTCAATTGTCTACTTTAGATTTCTCTCCACAGCCTTACAGAAGATATTCTCTCCCTCTGTTTAGGGTTGTAGAATTGAAATCCAAGTCAGCTTTTTGTTACTGTGGCAGAATACTTGAGGTAATCAAGCATGGCCCACAGTTTTAGCCCATGGTTACTTAGTTTTGTTGCCAAGGTAACACAGTATGTCAAGGTGCTAGTGTATGGCAGAAGAGGCTATTGGGAAACAGAGGGAGAGGGGGGGGGAAGAGAGAGAGAGAGCGAGCAGAGTTTTAATATCTCCTTCAACAGTATGCTCCTGTGACCTAGCTTTCTCCCTCTAGGCCCTATCTCCTGAGGGTTCCAGTAGGACCAGGGGCTTGGCTCAAAGCTAAAACACATGGGACTTGGAGAAGCACTTCACACCTAAGCTGCAGCAAACCTAACTGGAAAAGCCCATACTGGATAATTTAATACACTTATTATAAACATATTATATGTGACAGAAAATTTGAAAATTAGAGAAAAACATAATTTCATTATTATATCCTAACTTTTTATACATTTTTCAGCCATCTTAAGAATGGTTTTGTTTGTGGTAGTGAGAATATATATACTCTCCCCTTCTGCCTCACATTGCCTGTATACTGTCAGGAGCTGAGAACAAAGACAGATAAGCAGCGAACAGGCCATCGTCTCAAGAAGCTTCTCTTGCCAAAGCCACTGCTGTGAGGTACTTAGCTGGTACATGGCTGTGGGCTGTGCTTGGAGATTTAACTCAGCACAGGTTCCTAGAGGCCCCTCGTTTCTGAGAGTTCTGTTAAGAAGCCAAAGAGGAAACAGATGTGGACATCTGAGGGGTCTCCTGCCCGAGGGAGTGCTCAGCATGTGGAAGAGAGCCTGTTGTCCTACCAGAAAACTGGGAGTGGCCTGAAAAAACCCATTATAGATGGTGAGGATGCTCCAGTCAGGTACAGACCGAACCCAGGATGACAGTGTGGCGGGGTGAAGCTGAAGAAAGGAGGCCAAAAAGAAAGCTGGGAGTTAGTATATAAAAGGCCTCCAGTGCAGAATTAAGGAACCTAGATTTTTTGCAAATATTAATGAACTATTTGAAGATGCGAACTCAGGGATTGACAGGGGATTATACAGTTATCCCTTGGTATCAGGTTTTGGTTCTTAGACCAATCCTAGATATTTTAAAGTCTAAGGTGCTCAAGTCTTTTGTGTAAAATGGTGTGTTTTTTGTATATAACTTAGACATACCCTTCTTTTATGTTTTAATTGTACCTAGTGCAATGCAAGTGCTATGCAAATCTATTGTTATACTATTTATTTAGGGAATTATAATTGTTATTATTAATAAAAGCATCCATACAAGTAAAGTCATGTTCAGTTCAAATGCACTTTTTAGATTGTTTTTGATTTATGGTTAGTTGAATCATTAGAATCACAAACCCTCAGATATGGAGGCTGGCTGTATTTACTAAACCTGGAACTGTTTGAAGTTAGAGGGTCAGAATAGCACAGAAATACAACCTGAGAAGTCCCTTTCACAGTTGTCTTTACAGGGAGACAGGTCAGAGAGAGGAGTCTTGAGAGAAGAGGGAACCTGGCCTTGTAGTGATTTCTTTTTGAGTTCCCAGGAGGGGAGAACTTGCTGGGCTGTAGCTGCTGTTTGGTGCTGTCTCTGTCATGGCCAGGGTGTTTCATTTGTGGAAAAGAAAATTCAAGCCAGGCATGGTGGCACACACCTTTAATCTCAGCACTCAAGAGGCAGAGGCAGGTAGATCTCTGAGCTTCAGGCCTGCCTGGTCTACAGAGTGAGTTCCAGGAAACACAGAGAAACCCTGTTTCAGAGATAGAGGGAGACAGAGACAGGCAGAGAGACAGAGAGACAAAGAGAGAGACAGAGACAGAGAGAGTACCTGGCCTCCCTTAAGACTTGGAATCCATTTTCACTTTTAACAGTTGAGCAGTCTCCCCTTATTTTATTGTCAATACTATGTGGTTTTGAAATAATTTTTGTTTGTTTTTAATATGGCTTCAAGATTTGTCAATAAAGACTTTCTGAACTATTGTTCACTTTCTGAACTATTGCCGTGAGATATTGTGAAATCAGTGTTAGAACACTGAACCAATCTTTAATTGGTTATCTGATGTTTCTCTGAGAGAATTTGTCAGCAGGAGCCAAACATGGTGACACACACCTGTAAGCTCAGCACCCAAGAAGGTATGGCAGGAGGTTCTTAAGTTCAAGTCCATTTTTTAACTAAAACAAGCAAACAAACAAAACAGACAGTGGGGGTAGGGGATATTTACCAACTGAAAATATTGACAGATCACAGAGAAAAGAAAAGAAAAAAAATGAATGCTGCGTTTGAAATGCTGATTACTTTGCTTTTCTATTATAGGCGAGCGATACGTGATGACATTTTTGAATGTATTAAACTTTGGCGATCAGGGTAAGATGTAAGTCTGTAGTGTTTTAATTACAGGTGAACACCATTAAGAAGCACTAGGTCTTTGGTGGTATCCCGTCGAGTAACTTGAGTGGAAGTCTTGTTGGGCCCCTCCCTTCTCTATCTGCTTCCTGCAGATCTCTGGTACCCATTCTGAGGGGCAGGGCTCTAGAAGGAAAGACAGTGGCTCATCTTCATGGTCCTAAAGATCTGTTCCCAGTTAGTGTGCTCGGATAAATCCCTCAGGGTTTGTTTTATATTTATTTTTCAAGTGATACCAGAGTCATGCAAATTAAAAGTAACCAAAAAGGAGAAAAAAGAGGAGGAAGTCTAGAAGGAAGCATCAGATCACACTGATAACAGTCAGTTTCACATTGATGACATATTTTAAAGGGCTAATGATAAAAACGCCTCTGTCTTGACTGTATTAATGGCAGGGTAGTGGTTGTAATGTTGTATAGGTTTTGCAAGATGCTATCATTTGGTACATAGATCTACCATTTCTTCAACCACATGTCAATGTATAGTTTTTCTCAAATTTTATAAACTTGGCTGGGGCAGCAGCTTGGTTAATAGTGTTTGCCTGGCATACACAAAGCCGAGTTCAGCCCCCAGCACCACGGAAAGCAGGTGTGTGGTGCACACCTATTACCTCAGCATTTGAGAGGTGTAAGTAGGGGTCAGAAGTTCAAATTTTTTTCTGGTTACATAGAGAGTTCAAGGCTAGCCTGGGCTACATGAGACCCTGTATCCAAAAGAAAAAAAAAAGACTTAAAAATTTAAATATTAAATTAGAAAAATAATTTTCACATAGTGCTGTGAAAATTAAGAACCACCATGCCTATAATTTCTTCCGTTTTGCTTTGTAGGTATATATGATATAGTGAATAACCTTGGCTCCCTTGTGGCCAGGCTAATCTTCCAGCCAATAGAGGAGAGTTTTTATATATTCTTTGCTAAAGTGCTAGAGAGGGAGAAGGACGCCTCGCTTCAGAAACAGGTAAGTCAGTTCTCATGTCAGCTCTCAGGTGACCTGGCACTTCCTTTTGATCTCCTCCTCTGTTCTCCTGTGCTGCTTTGTTGCTTGGGTCAGAGTCTTGTTTCCCTGCCTGGCTTTGAGATCATAGCCAAGGTTAATCCTTGAAGTGCTGATCCTCCTGCCTCCACTTCCTAAGCAGTGGTGTTTTTCTTCTGACAGGTCTGCTGTGAGTATGACCCAGAGCTCCTGGTGTCCCTTGTCACCTTGGGTGACCTTACTCTTTGTTTAATTAATTAGTCCTTGGGTTTTTGTTGTTTGGTTTCTTAAGATTGGGTCTTATGTAGTCATAGATGGCTTTGAACTTTTGAGCCTCCTGCTTCAACCTCGTGAGTGCTGGGATTTCAAAATGTGTCACCATGGGCGGCCTGTGCAGTGTGAGGGAGCAAACTCAGTGTGAGGGAGCAAACTCAGTCTTGTGCATGCTAGACAGGCACTCTCCCGACTGAACCAGATCCCAGCCCTGTAACCACTGAAAATTTGACTTATTTACAAAAGCTTTTTCACTTTTATTATTTTATTAATTTACCATGTATGAGATGCATACACATGAGTATATGTAGGCTCAGGTGTCATGCATGCACATATAGAGACCAGAAAAGACCTCAGATGTCTTTTGTATTTTCTTTGCTTTGTGCCTTGAGATTGGGTCTCTCACTGAACCAGAAGTCACCATTTTGCTTAAGCTGGCTGGCCAGCTGGGGAGTCTGCCCATCTCCACTCCCCAATGCTGGGGGTACAGGCACATGAAACTATGCAGGGCTTTTTAAATTTTAATTTAATTTAATTTAATTTTAACATGGGTGCTGAAGATCTGAATGTAGGTCCTCAGGCCCTCATGCTTGCAGAGCAAGCACTCTTACCTGAGGAGCCTCCCTTCTGCCTCTCTGACTTAGTCTGCAATTAAAAGCAATCTAGGTCTACCTCTTACATGTCTTAGAAGATATTTTACAAAATACAATTTATGCCCAGTATCTGAAAGTAAGATCTGCTTCCCACTCTGGGCTGAGGGACATTTCCCTAAGTGTACATTGACAATGACAGACTCTCGGGCCATCTGTCAGAAGCACAGACCTAGCTAGTATAGGTGAAAATATGAGGATAAAGCAAGTCCTTCCTCAGCAGCACTGTGTTGCAAGTGTTGACAGCTAAGCCTCCCCCTTCCACCTGTGGAGGGGAGACTTACTTCTCCCTTTCATTTGCTAATTGCCATAAAAAGAAATACAGGCTCCAGAAAGGCAGCACAGACCTTACTCTCCAGTTGCTGTCAAGTGACGTAGGAAGTTGGCCTATGAGAGACTCTTCAGCTCGGATCCCAGCTCACTTCCTCCCCTTTCCCCTGGTCCAGGACGATGTTGCTGTGGCTGCTGTGGTTTTGGAGTCCCTCCTCAAGCTGGCCTTGGTGACTGGATTGACCATCACTGTTTTTGGCTTTGCCTATTCTCAGCTGGCTTTAGACATCTATGGAGGAGCCATGCTTAGTTCAGGATCTGGTATGTGCTATACTTTGTAAGGGATTGGTTCTGATTTCTGAAGAGAAATCGGAGTGTCTCATGAAATTCAGGCCATGTGCACACAGTGACCTCTGTGTCATGGGGAGGATTTTTGACTAGCGGAGGCTTTGGGGCTGTTCCTCACTATCACAGGCAGGGTTCAGTCAGGGCTTCACCAGGGAGATCGGTTCTTCACCCTCACTTGAAGTGCTGAATTCACCTTGCTGTTGTCTTTCCTCTCAAGCCTAAAATGTATTTTGCCAAGTGCTTACCTGTGTTTCCTCTAAGTGAGGGAGGAAAGCAGACAGTGGGCTGTGAGTCTCTACCTGGTACTAAACACATCTGAGGACAGTCAACCCCATGCAGATCTCAGGGTGTGATGAGTCAGAACCTTGAAAAGATAACCCAGAGTCCTTTGCCTAAAATAAAATTGATCTTGGCAAGTAAAACTGTGTATTTACTCTAGTGACTATTGGTTTGGTAGGAGAACAACATGGACTGTCTACATTGAAGTCCTTGGTTCCCAGGCTGCTGAGACTTCCTCTGCACTTTCTAGTCCTTGGGGGTTTTCACCCATTTCAAAATGTGCTGAGCTCTAAGTTGATCATCCATTTGCAGGTTTTATCCTGGGATGAGCAGGGACGTCTTTACTTTCTCCGATCACTAGACAAGAGCTAGAAGATTCTCTGCTGCCCCATCTCAGTATAAAGGGCCATGTCAGGACAATTTTATACTTCCATGTTTTAGTTGCCCCTGTAGGTATTGGAGAAAAAAAGACCATGTTTCTATACCAGAGCAAAGGTTGTTAAATTTGAGGAAATCCCACCATGAAGCCTGTGGTGTAGTTTGTGGCTTCTTGGGGTGTGTGCCTTAAGCAGTATATGTCCATCAGGCAGCTGCTGGGAGGCTTCGTTAGGAAGCCATTAGGAAGTTTACATGCAGAGACTGGAGATCCAACTTTTATACCAGCTCTGCCTCCTTAGAAAGCAATCTCCAAGAAATAGCCTCTCCTTTAACACAGCCGCATGATGTTGCCTAAGAGGGGCTGTCTACTTGTTTGGTAGAGTAATCCCAGAAATATAAGTTAAGAGTCATTGTTGCATTGCCTCTGCCTCCTAAGTGCTATGATTAGGACATGTGCCACCACACCCAGCTTACTGCCTTTTCGTTGACCAGGATGCCCCCCTAACAAACTTGGTATCAGTGCCTGTGCATGCATTGCCTGCTAGGTTTCCCTTTTACATCATTCTCTCCTCTCTCTGACTAATGCTTGTGTCCAGATGAATTTCTTGTGCCAAGAAACATTCACACCACTGTTCTTCCTGCCCATCCCAACCAGTTTTCCTGATCACTTAAGTATTTCACAATACCTGACTTTGCCTAGAGAGGATTCCTGCACTAGGCAGAAAAGAGTGCCATGTCTTCATGGCCTGGCCTTATCACTTTGTCTATATATGCATGTATTGGTTTATTTAGGTGCCAAGAATTGAATTCAGGGCTCTGCAGGTGCTAAGCAAGCATTCCCACTAACCTCAGCCAAGCTCCATCAGTTTTTGTTGGTTTTGTTGTTGTTGTTGTGTGTCTGTGTGTCTGTGTCTCTGTGTGTATGCCTGTACCTCAACTGTATAGATCAGGCTGAACTCAAAGAGATCCACTTGCCTCTGCCCCCTGAGTTAAGATTAAAGGCATGTACCACAATACCCAGAAATCTTTTCTTTTCTTTGAATAATTTTGTTTTTAAGATTTTACGTGTAAGAATGTTTTGCTCGTGTGTATGTATGTACACTGCATGGATGCCTGGTGCCTTTAGGGGGTACAAGGGAGCACTAGATCACCAGAATTGGAGTTTTACACAGTTACAAGCTACTGTGTGGATGCTGGGAACCAAGCTAGGTCCTCTGAAAGAACAGCAAGTGCTCTTAACTCATGAACCATCTCTCTAGCCCCCTTTAAAAAATATTCTTGCTTAGAAGTATTACTCTGAAAGAAAGGCCTGTAGATTGCTTATGCTTTTTTCTATTGTTGACCAGTTTAGGTGATTATAAATAGAATCACTACATATTCTGTGAACATGTACGTTCACTTCTGTTGGATAAATAGCTAGGATGGAATTGCTGGGTCATAGTTTGAATGATCTATGATCTATTTATTAGAAATTGCTCATTCAGGAAGCATGGTGCTGTGTGCTTGAAATACCAATACTCGGGAGATAGAAGCAGAAGGATCATCTTTGTCTACATAAAGAGTTTGAGGTCATCTATGGCTCCATGAGATCCTGTGTCCTCAAAACAAAGCAATGACAATGACAACAATATCAAAAAACAAAGATAGAAAGAGTGAGAGGAAGAGAAACTACTTGTTCATCTCTGTTTAATAATAGCCCTCTGAAAAGAGAAGAATCAGTGTAGTAGTAAAGCTTCTAGTCTTTGGTCTGTAGTTTTTAAAAATTACTATTTTGTGTGTGTGTGTGTGTGTGTGTGTGTGTGTGTATCTGTGTGTGTAGGTATACAGATGTGTGTTTATATATATATGTGTGTGTGGAAGTCAGGACAGCCTACAGGAGTGAGTTCTCTTCTTCCATTATGTGATTCACAGGGATAAAATTTAGGTCATGGGTCTTGGCAGCAAGCACCCTTACTCACTGAGCCATCCCTCTGGTCTCGATCAACAAAGTCTTAAAAAATTCATTGCTTGTTGTAATACCATATTACTTTAATTTAGGAAAAGTGCTACAGGAACTCTGGTTCTCACTATGACTTGTGAAGGTTCTGTCCTAGGAGTTTCCTGCCGGTCCTGGGCCCTGGGCTACTCCCAAAAGGTGTTTTCAACCTGCTCAATTGACATTCCCTTAAGACATAGAGCTACTGGTATCTTCAGTGCTAAACTAGCAAGTGTCACCTCTGTGCTGATTGAAGATGCCTGCAGCTTTGCGTTATGGCCACTTGGGCTTTCAGTAGTTCAGCAAGAGATCTGTGCAGTTATGCCTCATTGTTCTTTTGATTTTATCTGAGTATTATAGTCAGTACTGTGGGATACAGTCTTCAAGTAGCCATGTGGTCTACCATTGCTACCATCAGGTCCCATGACCCTGTTCTCTGAACACAAGGTGGAGCTAATGGTACGTCCCATTTTGACTCTGGAATCTGGATTATTTCCTTGTAGGTCCTGTGTTGATGCGTTGCTATTGCATCTATGTCCTCCTGCTTGCTATCAATGGTGTGACCGAGTGTTTCACGTTTGCTGCCATGAGCAAAGAGGAGGTTGACAGGTGGGTAACCTAGAAAGTACACCTTTAATCATGGTCTTTGGCCAAAGTTAAGTAACTTGTGAATCTTTCTCTTTCCATTCTGCGCATGGATTTGTCTACACTTTTCTCAGAGGCCACCCTAGACCACTAGTGTGGGACCTCCCTAGGATCGCCATGGTTCTGGCATGATTTACCTAGTGTTCTTTCCCCACAGTGGGGCTAGGAGGCCAGTATTCTGCTTCCTTTAATGGGGTGTGGTATCACCCTGACAAAGTTGTGTTTGTCCATGTGTGTAGTCAACCTTAGGAGAAGCTAGTCATCCTTTCCATTGCTTCCCTCCTCAGATCCCTAAGAATGGCCTCAACTCCAGATGGGATACTTGATTGCTTTTCTTAGGGGCTAGAGAGTTTGCTCAGCGGTTAAGAGCACTGGCTATTGTTTAAGAGACCCAGGTTCAAGTCTCAGCACTCACATGACAGCTGACAATCATCTGTAACTCCAGGGATCTGACATAGCATCCTCCTTTGGCTTCCTTGGGCAATGCATGCATGTAGTGTGCAGACATTGGTGCAGGCAAGCAAGTCACCCATACATCTATCCTTATAATGGGGACAGTCATTATAATTGCCATTACATGATGGCCATCACAGTGGCCATGACACTCTAGCCATCATGCAGAGGCCATCACACACTGTCAATGACATAATGACTGTAACTGTGGTCATCTCACGGTGGCCATAATACAGTGGCCCTCATATTATGGTCATCACACAGTGGCTATCTACAGTAGTCATTGTGTGTGTGTGTGTGTGTACATATATATGTGCAAATTCTTGTCCCTAAGAAGTGGATTTGTAGTTCTCCAAGGATCTCAGGGATTCTGTGACATCTTTCCTTTTTTTTGGGGGGGGGAGCTCTTTTCAGTTTATTGCATGAAGGAGTTACACTAGTCCAAGTTAAAAGCGGACCCCCCAATGATTACATTATACAAGCTGTGATGTTTTTAAACTTGTAACAAGGGACAGAAGGGAAATTCTACTCATTGCAAGGAAATCCTCACTTAAGCTTCCGAGAGCCACAAGCACTTAAAACCCATGAGCCTTCAGCTGGTTGTCCTTAGCCAGTCCAATCTCTATCAGGAACTGGCATATGTTCTTGTGCTGGTCATCCTGTAGCTGAATTACTTCTCCATATTCTGGATTCTCAATTGCAGTACTATTGCAGGCAGTTTTCTTCTTAAACTCCTTCACTAAGTTTTTTTTTATCATAACCATCAGCGATCCCCTGGACAGTTGTAAGGGTCTTCCTGCCGTTTTTCTGTGGACTTCTTAGGTGGATATAATCCCCAGTGCCAGCAGGAGGCAGGTCATCACCCTCACTTGCACCAGCAGAGGGCTCGAAAGAGTGGAGGTTCTGGATAGCAGACATTCCTTTTCCTTGGCAGAAGGCAACTGCGGGAGAAGGTGGGGGCAGAGCGTCGGGGAGTGAGGGGCCTCGAGGGGGAGGCAGCTGAGTCCTCTGCGGCAGCTCAGTGACGGGGGCGACATCTTTCCTAAGAAGGCTCAAAGGCAGATATATTTCAACACAAGCTTTTCTTCTCTCTTAGCTTCAGATTGGGACCCCTGCCCTAGGACTTTCACCAGTAGTTTTAACATAAACTGTCATTAAAAAATCAGAGTTTCTTTTTCACCATACTTTACCATCCTCTCCCCTCATACCTATACAGTTAGTCAGTAGGTCCTTGAGCAGGTATGTGTATTTTAAATTTCCTTTATTATTCTTATGTGAATTAGCTTAATATCTTTAGTCCATCACCCACTTTTTATATTCTAAATGCCAAAAATACTAGGGCAGTATCTTAAGGTGTCACTGAAAGACGGGGGGAAGGATAAAATGATGAGGGAGAGAGAACAGGAAGGGCGCTGTGAACCACAAGGTGAGTGGCCTCCTAGCCACTGTCCCTTGGTTTCTGCTTCCTAAAGCTTTCCGTACTACCTCTGTTACATTGAGTACCGTTGAGGGCTTCAAAGTCTTGGTCTTAGGAGTGAAGTAAGAAAAGTAGCCCAGAGTCAGGGAATCCTTCTCCCTTCTCAGATCAACCTCTGTCTGTCTTCCTCTTAGACTGCTGCACAGTGACTGGAGTCTAGCCAAGATGCTAGCCAGCCCAGACTGAGACGGTTGTCTTAGGTAGTCTTCTGCTCGACTCCCAGACTGAGACGGTTGTCTTAGGTAGTCTTCTGCTCGCCTCCCGGGCCAATAGAATTGGAATTTAGGAGACTTGAGCCCAGGGAAACTATTCATTACCAGCTCCAAGCAATTCTGAATCTGAAGCTGTGGAAACTGCTGGTCTCAGGTTCAACATGAAACATAAAATACACACATAAAAGCATGTGACAGGAGCAAGGGTCCATGAAGCAGGAAGTGTCTCACTTATGCACAGGACACGTTTGTTCTTTTTATTCTCTTCTATTTTATTCTTCAAAAGAACTACATCTCAGAGCAGGTAAGATGGGATGGTTCAGTGGGTAAGGCTGCCTGCCTCGGGGCCTGAATCCTAGAGTGCTATCCTCAAGACTTATATAGTTGAAGGAGAGAAGTGACAAGTTGGCCTTTGATGTCAACGTATGAAACACATCACATGTGTACTCTTATATACACACAGACATGATAAACAAACAAGATAAACAGAAATAGAATTTAAAAGTCTTAAAGATAAAGTATGGCATACTGAATGAATTTGCCAGTCTTTGGTAGGTCATAACCTGTCATTTTACAGTAGCTGTCAGTGCATGACCTTCACCTCAGCTAGTCAGCAGTGTAGCTGCGGAACTGTGTTGAGTCTACTGTCCTCCATGCATAGAAAAGGCTAAGTTTAACTTTGAAATAACACATTTCAATTTGAAAACCGCTTCTAACATTGAGTAATTTAAAAATAAAATATAGTCTAAAGCACACTAAGTGAGAGATGTAGCAGTGTGTACACGTGGCTTCTGCCACACCTTCCTTCCCCCACTCCCCTTTCTTTTCTGAGACCGTTTCTCTCTATGTGGTTCTGGCTGTCCTAGAACTTGCTATGTATACCTGCTGGCCCTGAACTCAAAGAGGTCCACCAGCTTCTGTCTCTCAAGTATTGGAACTAAAGGTGTGCACCACCATGCCAGGCCAGAATCTACATTGTGAAGGGAATTTTAATTAACAGTAATTTCAGCATTAGTGTGGGGGAGGTGAGGCAATGCTAAACATATTTGAAATCTTTAAGAAAAACAGAAAGTCTTATGACAAAATCATGAAGAAACTTGGGCAACAGGTGGTAGTGTTCTTTCCTTTAAATTAAAAAACAAAAATTTAAGATTATGATATAAATATATTGTTTCACAATTCCCTTTCCTCCCGACAAACCCTGCTGTGTGCCACCCCTCTTGCTCTCTTTCAAACTCACAGCCTCTCTTTCTTTACTTGGGGTGTGTGCATGTGTGTGTTCTTACATATTTAAATGGAATCTGCTCAGTCTGTATGTTACTTGTGTGTGTATATTTTCAGGACTGACCATTTGGTATCACATACCCAGTTGATGAGCTCTTCCCTAGGGAAGACTGTTTCTCCCATTCTCAGCATTTCCTTGGTTGCCTATAATTTAGTTCTCTGGGTGGGTTTGAGGCCTCTTGAGCTTTCTCCTGTCCATTTTAACATGCCCATTGGCATTGTCTTTATTCAGGTCAGATGTAGGCAGCCATGTTATTAAGAATTTGTTGGTGTTGGCCAGGTGGTGGTGGCGCACGCCTTTAATCCCAGCACTTGGGAGGCAGAGGCAGTCGGATTTCTGAGTTCGAGAGTTTGAGGCTAACCTGGTCTACAGAGTGAGTTCTAGGACAGCCAAGGCTACACAGAGAAACCCTGTCTCGAAAAACCAAAAAAAAAAAAAAAAAAGAATTTGTTGGTGTATCTTCTTACATCTCTAGGGAAATAAGCGCACAGTGAGCCTCCTGTTTCTGTGTCTCTTACAGTCTCTCTGTCCCCTCTTCTGCAATGATCTCTCAGCCTTAGGTGCAGGAGTTGTGTTGTAGATGTATCAGTTGGGGCTGAACTTCACAGCTCTGCAGCTTGATTGGTTATGGTTTTCTGTATTGGTCTTTGTTGCAAAGAGAAGTTTTCTTAATGAAGGGTGAGAATTACACTTCATCTGAGGATTTGGAGCTCAGAGCCTCAGAGCAGTAGTGTGGAGATATAAGCTCTTGTGTATCCACTGCCCATGACAACAGAGTTTCTACTGAGAAGGAAATACACTACCTAAAATCCTGGATGAAATTATACCTCCTTTGCTGGAGTACAGTGTGAGTGTGTGTGTGTGTGTGTGTGTGTGTGTGTGTGTACACATGCACGCACACTTATATGCATTCCTTACCATGAACTCTGATAAAGCAAGTTTTTGTAGGGCCATGACCTTGGTCAGCTCAAAGCCTGTAACCTGACATTTGGGGACACAGTGGCTTTCCTCTTATCTGTGGTCGGACACATTACTCACTGAACAGTTGCTTTCTCATCACCTCTGATGTTAGGAATCTGGGTTGTGGCCCCAGAGGCTACTTAGTTCTTTAGCTTAGTGGACACAGTTTAGGGACCTACAGGATTTAACTCTCTCACCAACTGCATGTTTATAAAGTATCTGCTGTGGATTAGGCAGAATACAGATGCTGGGGAATTTGGTTCATGGCTCATGGCCTTTTTGAGGACTGTGGCAGCATTTTTATGATGCCAAGATGCAGTTCTTTCCTTTACAGAATACTGAAGATGGGTGTTTGAAATCAGAAGTGAGAAAAGTAGCATAACCATTTGGCTCCACCTCCAAAGAGCTAGAGATGTAGAGAGCCCAAGGAGTCTGCAAGAGGCTGGAGTGTCCAGGCGTTGCTCACAGCTCGTAACTCATTCTGGAAATCTGTCACTTGCTTTGAGTGAGGTGCTTTGAGTCTACTGCCTGGTGCATCATTTCCCAGGAGAAGCAGGATGAGGTATCAAAGCAATCAGCCAGTACCAAAGGTGGAGTGTTGCCCTAGTCCTTGGGCGGGTCCTCAGCCTCCCTGTGCTGGTTCATTTCTGTACTGAACAACTTTAAGCTCTACAGGATAGGAACCATGTGTATTAATTGCTTGCCAATGTCCCTAGCGCTCCCCACAGTGCTTTACAGAGTGTGCATTATTACCCAGGTCACATTCACTGGAGGCTTTAGCTGAACAGGAGTTTTGTGTTTTATTTTCAAAGTATCACCTAATAAATTATTTTCCTTAGAAGTGTAAGTATTTTGAATTGTATGTGTCCTGCTTAGGGAGTCAGGAGAAAGTCACATTTTCATATTAACTACATAGTATTCAGTGTTACAAAAACCTGGGTTATGTCTGGGCGTGGAAGCACACATCTGTACTCTTAGCTCTTGGGAGGCTGAGGCAGGAAGAATATGAGTTCAAGGCCTGACTGTTGCTTAGCAAAGAATGCTTGCTTAGCTTGTGCAACCTTAGGTTGCTTAGCCTGGTTTAATTCTGAGCACCTCAAATGCAAAGAGGGAGACAGACAGACAGAGACAGAGAGACAGAGATAGTCAGAGATTGAGAGATTCCTAAAGGCCAGCCTGAGCTATATAATAAGTTAGAGGTGAGCCTAGGCTACTTTTTTTTTTTTTTGGTCTCAAAACAAAACAACAACCAGCCAAGAGCTGAGCCAGGTATTGCCGTTCAGGTCTATAATTCTAGTTCTCAGGATATTCAGAGTCATCATGGATTACAAAGTGACAGCCCATAAAAAAGAAAACACATACAGAGGAAAAGGAACCTGTTTAGCCTATATAAGGCATTGGGTTGAATCTAGCACAAGAACCATAAAACCCACCCCTGCCCACAACACATCTGAAAACTAAAACCACTGCATTATGGGAACTCATCTGGAGTAATGTGAACCCAGGGATCTTTCTGCGAGTTGATATGGCTGCTTTTTGTGGAATATTCTTGTCTTGGGATAAGACACTGACCTTTCTGCGTTGCTTGTCTCCCAGGTACAATTTCACCATGCTGGCACTGTCGTCCTCGTTTTTAGTCTTATCCTACCTGCTGACCAGTTGGTGTGGCAGTGTGGGCTTCATCATGGCCAACTGCTTTAACATGGGCATCCGGATCGCACAGAGCCTTTCCTTCATCCATCACTACTTCCAAGAGAGCCCCCACAGACCCCTAGCTGGCCTGCGCCTGTCACCAGTTCTTCTTGGGGTGTTCGTCTTCAGTGCTGGGATTACTAGTGTCTCAGAGGTAAGACTCCCAGGAGCCTTCACACCACTTGCTTCTGTAGGCTGTCCATGGTTCTTCCCTCTAGACCTCCATCTTCCTGCCAGTCTAAACACGTTGATCATGTGTTTGTCTCCTCCCATCTTCTCCAGACCTGCAGAGTAGCACTTACATTAACCCCTCGCCTCACCCCTGTGCCTTATATCTGACTTAGAAGCTGGATGATAGGGCTGGGGGGATGGCTCAGTGAATAAGAGCACTTACTGCCAATCCTGAGGACCCAGGTTCAGTTCTCTGCACCTATATGGTGACTCACAATCAACTGTAACTCAGTTCTAGGGGATCCAGTGTCTTCTCTGGTTTTAAAAGGCACAGGGCACACACAGAGAGCACACTTATACACATGTGTTTATACACATAAATAAACCTTCAAAATAAGAGGAAGCTGGATAATAACTTCTTTCTCTGCTTTTTCTGGCAATGACACTAGTTTCTTTCCCCAGGCATTCCTCTGCTGTGAGCGGGGCTGGCCGCCTAGGCTGGCACACATTGCTGTGGGGACCATCTGCTTAGGAGTGACTCTTGGGACAGCATTCCTCACAGAGACCAAGCTGATCCACTTTCTCAGAACTCAGTTGGGTAGATCCAGACTCAGTGACAAAATGACATGACTTTGATGTTGCTTTGACACTTTTGGTACCTGGACCCAGCTTGGAGCAATTCTTGGACATGCATTGCTGTGTGGAAAGCCCTGCTGTGGAATCAGAATCACCCTGGAGGCGAGACTGCAGAGGAGAAATCGTCCAGTCCAAGGCTTCCAACTAAAGGAGGAATGTCCTTTTAAGTGAAGACCAAAAGCCCTTTTTGTTAATGAATTAATTCCCTTGGAGTATGATTGACCTTTGAAGTTACATCTTTAACAAACGCTCTTAGATGATAATATTTAACCATTGTTTGGCCAAGAAAAGGCAATGTAGCCATTGACCTGCCACAAGAATGGTTAGTTTCTTCTGTAAAAGAAGTAAGGAGCCCATGAAGTTACACACACACCAAACAAGAACAAAGTGTGGCCTAAGAATTGTGACTTTCAGCTGGGTAGTGGTAGTACACACCTTTAGTCTCAGCATTCAAGAGACAGAGGCAAGCGGATCTCCAAGTTTCAGGACAGCTGGAGCTATCTTGAAAAACCAAATATTAGAAAAATGTGGCTTTCCCGAGTCAGTCTTGTAGTTTTAGTTTTAAGAGAAGAAAAATGCTACTCAGTGAGAAACATTTCCGAAATAACGTTTGCAGTCCTGGGGATTGAACCTGGGGCTTCATGCTTACAGGTTCTCTACTACTGGGCTGTATCTGTATCCCCAGCCTACGCATGGATAAATCAGGAGATGCAGATCTCATTTCCCAGAAGTGCCAGGGAGGATCTTTGCTGTCATGGTCATACTGTATCTCCCAGAGCATCTCATGTCCCAGAATGAGTTACTTAGGATTTCTTGACTGTAGAATGTATGAAAACTGCCTGGTGGCTTTAGATCTAGCCACCCTTGAAAGAGGGGAACTCTGATGGAAGGTATGAGTTGCTTTGTCCCCTAAGGGGGGGGGGGGCTGCTTCCCAGCTTGCTTTAGTTTTCCCATGAAAGTCGCACAGATGATGATCACATCAATAGCTATCTCTTTTTATCTTTAGAATGAAACAGGGCACATTGCATATGGCAAAGTCAGAGTCAGACCCTCTGAACTGACCCACTGTTTCCAGTACTGGTCAGTACAACTGTTTTCTAGCCCAGCGCATGATTGGAATGCCCAGAGAGGTAGCCCTCCAGGCTACCTCATAAGCCTTGTAAGCCAGGCTTCCTGTCCCTGTGTGCTGCTCCTTCAGGGGAGATCATCAGGCCTTTCCTGGGCTGTAAAATAGATAATAGGTTTCTTTTTCCTCTTTAATTCCCTTTTTGATATGGTTGCTCTTTGGTGCTATATGCACAAACTTTATCTTGATTGTCAATAGTTTTTAATCCTCTGGTGCAATGTCCCCAAATCTTCCATGTTTGCCTCTAGAGAGCCAACAAGGGTAACTAACTAGTGGGCCAGATATGTTGGCACACATCCTTAATCCCAACACTCACACTTAGGAAGCAGAGGCCGGTGGAGAGTTCAAGACCAGCCTGGTCTACATAGGGAGACTCTGTCTCAAAATTGATAACATTTCCTTTAAAAGTATTTACCTTTAGAAAGAAGTGCATGTGTATGACCTGTGTATGTTGTATGAGTTGTGTCTGTGTTAGTGTGAGCACCCATGTGATGGAAGTCAGAGGACAACTCATAGGACTTGGCATTCTCCTTCTAAGTTGTCAGGCTTGTATGGCAAGCTTTCTCCTTTATGATCCCTATTGCCAGCCCCAAGAACATCATTTAAAACCATACTGAGAGGCCCAGAGGCAAGAGTCAGCAGCACAGTAGGACTGGGCTAGTGACGTTGGCATGTGCTTTGTTCTTCTGTGGTACTGGGAACTGTGCCAGTGCTCTGACACTGAGCTACACTGCCAGCCCTCTACAAGAGTTTTATTTTGAGACAAGATCTTGCTAAATTGCTTTGCTTGGCCTTAAACTTGTGACCCTCCTGCCTCCTGAGTAAGTGGGATGGGGCATAGAGCCAGTGTTCAGGTTACCTGGGTGTGTTTTTATCTACTCAGAGGCTTCTCTGTATGTCTTCAGGGGCAGTATTTAAATGTAAGGTATTCTGGGCCACTAGAAGTCCTCTAAAAGTATAGTTTCAATTGTGTTTTTGTAAGACTGGGTCAAGCTAGCTTAGAAATGAGTAGTTCCTTAGAGTATGGGGAGAACACACAAGAAGCAGTTCTCCTCTTCGTGTCTTTTTGCTCTCCTGTAAGCATACAGGAATGGGCCATCAGAGCTCCTGATCCCCCTTTCTCCACTGACTACCCCATCTCTTCCCTAGAACTCTGTTACTACGTGTCCACTTAACCCCAAGCCTAGAACATGACCCTTAGGCTGCCTTCCTCAGAGTCTCCTAGACCAGGAGGTCCTTGGATCTAGGCCATACCTTCAGAATTTGTTTGGAGGCAGAGCTCAAAGATGAGCTTTTCGGCAAGCTCACTTGACTATGATGCTGCCAAGCTGAGTTCAAAGTGTCCTCCTTCACAGCAGGCCAGGATTGGCCATGCCCACACCCACAGTATCTGTTTTCTGCTCCTGGCACCGGCAGCCTGTGACTTCTGAGTGTATGGGAACAGACCACAAGATTCTTACTCCCGAGTAGAGAGGAGGCTGTGCAGCTGACCGCAGACTCCTTTCTCTGCTTACCTTTCCACATGCTGTCCACCAAATGCTACTATAATGGCCCATTTTATTAAAAGATGGCCGGCTGGACAACAGCTCAGGACTCCTTCCTACACCCTGCCTTCTTGTTTCTAGAAATAATGCCTGCCTTCTCAGCCGTCGATGTCTTAGAGAGGCCCTGCACAATTTTCACTGTGCTCTGGGCTCTCTAAAGCCCAGGTTAGTACAGCCATGGCCTAAGGAGTTGAAAAGACCAACTCATTCTGAGATTGGCAGAGGCTGGACTCACAGCTCCTCCTAGCTACACAATGGGATAGTTCTCATCTCTGTTGGGGCCCAGACAGTGACAGCAGGGAGCAGGTTGGTAGGCAACTGAAGGAAAGAGGAGGGCCCAGAGTCAGGCACTGCTTCCCAGGAAGTGGCTGTATATTTCTCCATTGCTGAGACAATCACTTTTACCACTTTTTGCCTCCAGCCTGCCATCACATCTTGCATCTGTGCGGTCAAGCACAAACCTCTGAAGGAAAAAATGGAACTGGCCCCTTGTAAGGCAACTGCTTTAGGTTATACATCACAAGTGAGTCTGTGGATAGGACACCTTGGCATCAGGTGAGCCCTAGCCCACCTGTTAGAAGTAGAGGCTCTGTAGAGTAACATGGTTCATCTAAGGTTGCCTTCCAGCCCCTGGTGCCCGATGAGTCCTGTAACAGAACAGCTTCCTTGCAAAGGAATCTTTTAGGTCAACATTTGTTACATTCTGTCCTTTTCTGCAGTAAAAAGTGCCCTCAAGTTATGAAGTTGTCACTCCTGTCGCAATTGTGGAACAGCTCTGAGGTGAAAGGTTTTTCCAAAGCAAGTGCTACAGCTCTGAAGGGAAATGTGTCCTGGCAGGCAGGAGCCAAGGAGTACCAGGAAGTCACTCTGCACAACAGACTTCACACACGAGATTTCTTGGGAACACACAAGAGGGTGGCTGCCTCTGCTCAGCTAAGAAACAGCCTGAACCTGAGCAGAAGCCTGAACAGGCCATATATATATATGTACATTTTAAGGGGGAGGGGCTTTCCAGGGTGGCCTAGGATTGGTAAGGTTTTGTGGCCTGATATTGGAGCAAGCTCAGAGATTGGTGGGATTCTGTAGCCTAATCATAGCTTTTTTCCTGTAGGGTGGACCTTGCTGCCTACATCTTGATAGAAATGGCCATTAAAATAGTCTGGGTGAAGGGCCTGGCCATCATGATTGGAAGGTCTTACAATGTCTCTCTGGCTTGGCAAATGCCTTAGGCAGAAGCCACCTGTCTTCCTGTGGTTGGTGAGGACAGAAGGTGAAAATTCCACAGCCTCACCTTCTTTCCCACCAGCCTCATACTCTGAATCTGATCTGGACCTCTTTGTCACTGGCCTGGGCTTTGGAATGGGGTTAGGTACTCCATCAGTGCCCATCAGTGAACATTGACTAAGTAAGGCATGACTGCTTTAGTCGCATTGGGAGGTGACAGCTGAAGACATGTTTCTAGTTCCTATCAGGGAGATCCTGGTACTCTTTCCAGTGTATGGAACTAGTAGTGCATGGCTTTCTCCAGGCCTGCTGGGGGAGAGAAAGGGAAGTCTGGGGGAGACCAGACTTCATCCTGGCTCACACACTCCTCACTTTTATGAGTCTTCTTTGAACGTCATGACATGGTAGATGTGATGGCCTGAGCCTCCAGTCCCAGCACTCAGGAGGCCGTGACAGAAGGAGGCCAGCCTAGGCTACAGAGACCCTGTCTCAGGAGAAAGAAGCAGAGGAGGAAGAGGGTATCGTGAACAGTGATAGAGTAAACAAGGTTGCCGGAGGCGTCTCTCAGAAGGGCTTTTAGTTCTTGGGAGAGTTAGGCATCGGCTCACAAAGGGAAGCTTGGCGATCCTGGAACTTCAGTCTAGCCTCTCTGGCCTCAGAACATTGTCCTGCTCCTCCAGACAGAGTCTGCCTTGGGTTCCACAGGAGAAATCACCAGCGAATAAGCCATTGTAGCCAGAAGACAGCAGTGTTTTCCTCAGTATGCATTTGGACTAGAATAGAGATGTTGTTCACATAGTCTTCCTTGTTTCCCTAATGTGTTGACATAATTCCAGAAAAAGACAGATTAGCATGGTACATCTTTATGTTCTCAAATTAGAGCTGAAGATTGCTCTCTTTCCCATGTGGCCTCTGATGTCCCAAGAGGCATGTCTAATGATAAGAACATGTTCTGCAGGTGTGCAGATGTCAGACTGGGGGCGCAATGGAAGGACAGAGCCACTTACATGTGTTTCTTTTGTAATGGGGTGAAATCATGTGGTGCTATGGCTGCCAACAGGGCTCATGGGCACAGTGCTCAAGTCCATGGGTTATTCTTGCCTCTGCTTCCTTTTGGTGCTCCTTGCAACAGACCAAGTAATAGAAGGTCTGGACAGAAGGCCACCAGAGGGGGTCTTGTTATCTTATTTCTTCTGTCTACATAATCAGTGGAGAAATTAGCTTATGTCCATGTCTGTCTTTTCAAGCACCTATCAGGATTCATTCTCTCTCTCTCTCTCTCTCTCTCTCTCTCTCTCTCTCTCTCTCTCT